AGGTTTCTTTCTTGAATAGAAAGCCAGGAGCCTCAGACCTCATCTGAAAAAGATCTTGATTATTCTCTCCTGCATCCTCACTTTAGTCACTGATGATGTGAACAGGTCTTGTAGCAGCTAGTCACCAGTGTAGGAACAAGTAACATATGCCTTGGAAGGATGAACATTTTTCAAGATTTCAAAGTTTACTCAGTTTTAGGGGATGTTCTTTCTAAATGGTGTTGCTTCTGGGCTCTTCCTAAGGATCTTACTATTCTCTTGAAGATTTAGTTTGATTAGGCTTTTCTTTTTTTTCTTTTTTATTAGTACACCTCTGTAAATAGCCAAACATGAACTATAATATGGTTGTTTGGTCACAAATTGTGCCAGTATTTTATAGAAATTTCTCTGTTGGGCAAACTTCTCATTTTTTTTCCCCTAAAGCTGTTAGTGGTTTGATTCCTGGTGTTTCTTTGTTTGCTTCTTTTGTGAAACACCCATAACATAAAATGAACATTTTTTAAGTGTACAGTTCAGTGGCATTGAGTACATTGACAGTATTATGCAGCCATCATTCTGATTTTTTTTTTCATATCTGTGTATAACAAGGAAAAATATGCATAGCTCCCCAAAGCCTTGTATGTGCTGACAGGGCAAGCTTTTCATTGGCTTCAGAATGGGTTCATTACTGCTGAAGTTTAGTTTCATTCAGCAGCCAAGGAATTGATCTTTTGAGTTTCAAGTAACTGGTTTATTTCAGCCTATAGTGTAATTACTGTAATTACACTAACGAAAAACTGTAAAATTGTTCATGCTGCTTTAATTTGAGAATAAGGGGAACTCCCCTCCTAAATTATTAAACAAACACCTTTTCAGAATTCCACATAAAGTGTTGCATGCCCATCTGTTGCCCAGTCTACTCAGCTTTCAAATCATCCACTGAATCATTCCCTTGAAATCATCCTTGCCTGAGGTGAGCTTGTGTGGATTAACTGCTTTAACCATGCTCTGGCAGGAAAGACTAGGGTTAGTCAGTGTTAGGATATTGACCATTTTTAGTTCACCAGCGTTGAAAGTTTTGCTTAGTTTTCTAACCAAGACAGGTTCAAAACTTACTGCTTAGTTTCTGTTGGAAGCTTTTAAAGGAATTGAGCAAATGATCATGAATTCCCTCCCAGGCCTCCCTGTGCATTTAGGGGTGGAGGAACCTTGTTCCCTATGGTGACCATCAGAATTGTCCAAGCTGTTTTGTCATGCATACATATTTGCTCTAAAATTCATTTTCATCTTGAAATAGTTCCATTAGTGTTTGTACCTTGTCTGCATCAGGTGGATGGATTTTTTGCTGGGAAAAAAATGGAGTCAACATATTTAGTGTGAAGGAACCATAGTCAGGCCATTTCTAGACCCACTCCCTCAAGGGGTGCTTAAAGGCAGAATCTTCAACAGAGTAACTGCTGTTAGGCAAGGGAGAACATTTTGTCCTCTAACCAGCTAAAATATGAAAGTATTCTTGCTAAGTGATATTTTAAAATGTTTAGTATCATGTGATACAGTCAGGTTAGCCTAGAGACTTTTTCCATTTTTCCAAGAACCAACCAAGTCTCTATCTTCTGCAAGAATAAGCAGAATTTGGTTCTTATGGGGGTGTGTTCACACTGGTCTTCACCTTAAATCTAGTTTATTTTCAAGGAGGGCTTTGTCAGTGAGGCTGCTGTTCTCACTCCAACAGACCTGCAGACTTGCCCCATTTGGTTAGAGGAAGTACCATTTGACATAAGGCTTAGCTTGTCAACCTTGGCACCATTGACATTTAGGTGGTATCTCCTTGTCCTGTATGTTATAGGATGTTTAGTAACATTCCCTAGCTCTACGCACTAGATGCCTACAATACCTCTGCTCTTCCCCAAACAAGCACGACCAAAAGTTTCCTAGCCAGTGCTAAATATGTCCTGAGGGCACAATTGCCCAAGGGTGAGAATTACTGCCCTCCCCTTTGTCCCAAAGGCTGGATGAAGGTTCCTAAATCCAGCCACTTACCCTCAAAATATTTTCCTTTTTTTCTTTTCTTTTCTTTCTTTTTTTTTTTTTTTGGCAGTACTGGGGCTTGAACTCAGAGCCTTAACCTTGAGCCACTCCACCAACCCTATTTTTGTGAAGGATTTTTTGAGATAGGGTGTCGTGAACTATTTGCCCAGGCTGGCTTGTAGGCGTGATTGTAGGATTGTAGGCGTGAGCCACTGGTACCTAGCCTAATAATTTTCTTCTTTTCCCAAGAGTCTAGAGAAAAGATGCAAATTCTACTCTGGTATGCAAATAGAGTGCAGGTATGTGATATACAGGAGCCAGGCAAAACTATAATTCTGCTCTTGGCTTTGGCTATCACCAGGGATAGGAAGTAATGAGCCAGCAGTGACTTCCTTTCTACTTGCCCAACCTCCCCCCCCCTTCAATTAAGCAAACTTTCACAGTCTTTATGTTAATGAGTCAGCTGGTAAGAAAGCAGATTTCTTTTGCCAAAGCTACTATGAATCTAAAACACAGCAGAGTTTTATACACATGAATTCCTATTTCTACTGACTTTTCTTCCTGGGCAAATAAAGAAGGATTCCCATAAAAATAGAAGTGCCGACAATAGTGAATGACACTGTTGTGACAAAAGTGAATAGCAGGTTTTCGAAACAATACATTTTAGATTTTTTTCCATCAGTACTAATTAGAAAATACCCTTGTTCTCTACATCTTCTGGAAAAAATAAACCCTGGTGTTAACAGAGGGCTTTAAAACTTGTAGCACAGCAGATGCCTTGAGTAGGTCCTGGCAGTGGATTTTTGGCAACATGCTGACACTGGAGCCATCCATGGCATGGCCTGTGGTAGTCAGACACATGAAGTGCATCTTTGAAGCATTTAACATGGAATGTGTACACTATACAAATGTGAGAATTAATAATGCTACTGAAGTTTTAGAGACCACAGGGACCCACTGCTTTTTCAGTGAAGTGAATCTTGAAGAGGTTCAGACCAGAGCACAGTTAAAAGATGTAGGTCTTTTGATTCCTCCAGCCACTTATTTCCCACAGAATCACACCGACTCCTTTAGCTGCATCAGAAAAGCAATAAGCTGAACAGGGAAAGATAGCCTTAGAAATGGGGTGGGTAATGAAAAAGCAAGAAGTGGAAGGGAATTCAGCAACTTGGCTTTTACCGAAATGCTCCATCTGGAGCTGTCAGCACTGCTGACCTCCCTCCCATATCCTGCTGGAACCTATTTGCAGAAAGGCCAAAGAAGCCTTCCCAAGGTGTAATTCCCAGAGCAATGCCAAGTATACCCTCTGAGTACAATCTCCCTCCTGAGAGGTTTACCTTGGACTTGTGCGTAAAGCTCTCTGCTCATCCAGCTAATTACTAATTTGGAGAGAAACTCCTAGTTTCCTCTTGACAGCACGATGACTGCCCAGTCTTGTATAGTTTTCCTCCTCAAGGTAGATGCCAGGTGAATATTATAAAAGAAAGCCTGTCTAAATCTTACAGCAAAATAAGTTGTGTTTCCATAGGATTAATAGCTTTGAATCCTACTTTGGACCAGGAGCAATAGGTCCAGGTCAAGAACAGCAGAGGTGAAGGAGCATTATAGCTGTTGGTATGTGGAGCAGGTGGATAGTCAGGCAATTACTGCTGAAACTTGTCTAATCTACAGCTATTAACATTTACATAAAATTCATTTAAAAACTGGTGCCTTGTCATTAAAACCCAATGAAGTACACATAGCAGTACTAATTATTAGAGCATAATTAACTGTTGAACAAAAAAACATTAGAAAGCTCTGGGAGTACTGTTCTGCATTTATCCATTATGCCTTTGGGCCAAATGTAACACTAACCCGAGAAAAGAATAGTCATCATGAAAATATTTTCTTTCCTTCCAAGTCAGGAAACAACTCACAATGGAGTCTACTTCTCTACTCTGCATTTTGAGATGTGCAGGAAACAACCAGCCATGGCCCACTGAGGTTTTCCTGCTGATAAATGAACCCTGAGGCCACAGTGACCTGTCTTGCTAATGAGTTAATGAAGAATATGGTCCTTGCATTGACCCTATCCTTAAAAGCTTTCTATAGAGCTGAAACAACTTTGCTCTGCTTTATGAGTTAACCCTTTCTTACTCAGCAAACGAGAAGCAGGAGGCAAGGGGAGAACATGGGTGGCAGAGAAGTGGAGAGTCTACCAAGGTGCTTCTGTGTCTTAAGTTTTTTGTTTGAACTTCAACTTGATTTGCAGGAAGAAATTTCATTCAATTTTTTCTCATGACATTGTCAGTGAGTGAAGGCTGAGGAGGTTTTAGAGATAGAGCAGATTGAGAACCCTACGTAGTATTTCCAGGTTCTTGTTGTCTTCAGAGAAAAAATTCAGAAACAAAATAAGAAGTTGGAAGGAAGTTTGTTTCAGGGTGAAAGTACACACTGTAGTGGGAGTGTGGACTTCTCAGGAGAGAAGATGCATTGCCAAGGATTCTGGATAGCATCTTACAGGCAAACTTTAATGGAGGGGAGAATTATTCATTAGTTCAGGCTGGAGAAAGAAGCAGGGAATTCCAATAATGGGTCAGGATTTTCCAGGAATAGGGTTTACTCACTATTTTTGTTTTTATGTATTCTGTTTTGGTTTGATTTGGTGGGGGTTTTTTTGGAGTGGGTGTGTGGATGACTGAGATTTGAACTCAGGGCTTCATGCTCACTGCACTCCACCACTTAAGCTACACATCCAGACCTTTTTGCTCCAGTTATTTTGGGAGGTAGGATCTCACTTATTGCCCAGGCCAGCCTAGATAATGATCCTCCTATATTATGTTTCCTGCAGTTACTGGGATGACAGGCACACAACATCACACCCGCTTTTTTTTTTTCCATTCAGATGGGATCTGCAAACTTTTTTACCCAGGCTGGCCTGGGAACCTCAGTCCTCCTGATGTCATTCTGCCACATAGCTAGGATTACAGGCATGAGCCACTGGTACCCAGCCTTATATGGAGTTTTCAGGTATGTCATGGGATCAGGTGCATAATGGGAGTAGCCAATTTTGCAAGGCTATTGATAGGGAGGTGCCATTATAGTGAAGCAAAGGACAGTTAATGGATCATCTCAGTCAGCCATGGTGGTCTCAGCAGGTTTTGGGAGGATTGTTGGTTGGTCTTGTTTTTATTTATTTGAGCAGTCACAGGATGTCCTCTGTAATATAGCTCTATAAGCAACACGAAGTTTGCTTGTTGTTTTTCCTTTGCCAGTCAAACCTACCTCATTATTGCAGACCCTTAATAAAACTACGTAACCCCTTTCTTTTTCTGGTGTGCTGGGTATCAAACCCAGGACCTTGAGCATGCTAGGCCAGTGCTCTATCACTGAGCTACAACCCCAACCCAGACATTTATTACTTATGTTCCTTTCACCCCAAGGCAGTGACATTTTATTGAAGGATTTTCCCACTCATTACTCTGTAAAAACTGCTTTGATTAGAGCAACGTAAGTGGTTTGCATTTTTTTAAATATATTTTTTTAAATTTTTTGTTCGTTTATTCACATGGTTTGCATTTTTTTGTAAACATTTCTATGTAGGGGTGAAAAAGAAATCTTTACTTCTGTATGTACACATTGTTAACCAAGCTTCTTATTAAAGGAGACAGATCTTGTCTATAGCTTACTGGAGAAAGAACTGTCTCCTTTAAATTAGGTTATATTTGAGTAACCAGAAATTATTTCTTCTCCCAAATTATTTTTTCTCTTAGTGATTGATTATTGGAGATGTTCTATAATTTGAAGGGGGTCTCAGATCAATATTTCTATTACAGGGTCATTTCCTAGCCTTGCAGTTTTGAAGTGTGATCTTATTAGTCACTTAGATTCTAACAAATTGATTTATGCATTCATAAGACTGGTGTTAACATTTGTCTTATAATTACTATTTTGTAACTAGAAGAGTTTTTCCTATTGGGTCATCCCAGATTCACTACCTCAAAAACCATAAAAAGTAGCAGGAAGCTTTGTTGGTAACTAAATGAAGAAAATGGATTGGTCATCTTAAGACATCTTCTCAGTATACCATTTGGAGGTTTTTTTTTTTTTTTTCTTTTAAGGACGTTTTGTTATTCGCTATAAGGCATGTATATCTTAAGGTATTTGGCATTAAATGGTTGATACCTAGAACATTTTCTACCTGGAAGTCAGTGCTAGGTGGCTCAAGGTAGCAAACTGAACACATGCCACAACACTTTCCCAGAACCCTAAATATATGAGAAAAGTACAGACTCTTAACAATGCTGGAAGTAAAAAAAAAAAGCATCCTGAGCCAGGTGCAGGTGGCTCACACCTGTAATCCTAACTACTTGGAAGGCTGAGATTAGGAGGATCTCAGTTCAAGGCCAGCCCTGGCAAATAGTTTATGAGACCCACATCTCCAAAATAACAAAATGAACTGGAGCTGTTGCTCAAGCAGTAGATTGCTTGCTTTGCAAGTGGGAAGCCCTGTGTTCAAACCCCAGTTCCATCAAAAAAAAAAAAAAAAAAAGCATCCTGAGTGGTCTAGAAGCTTAAGAAATTTTCAACAGAGGCAGGTGGAATCAGATTAAAGGTTGAAATTAGAACCCAAAAGCCCTGTGCTTGCTGCCTTTCCCCTGTATGCAGTAGACAGTGGCTTTGGTAAACAGAGGTAGCATTTGTACACAGGCAATATAAACATCTGTGACAAACATACAGCTAAGAACCCTCAAACATTCTGTGGAATCTGATGTCAGAAAAGAGAAGCACCAATCTCAAGAAATTGAAGATTTAGCATTTGGAGGATCCAAGTAAATAAAAGATAAAGATTTTAAGGAAAATGTATTTACATCCTGAAAGGCTAGAAAGAGAATATTGCACTCATGAAATAAGAACAGACTGTTAGGGGAAAGAATGAATTTTATTTCCTAGATCTCTGAAGTAAAACACATTGTTTAGGTACAACCTCATTAAAGGGGCTGAATGGAATGGACACAGCTAAAGGGAGTTGGTGAGTAGGAGGAAAGAGCTGAAGAATTTCCTTAGATTATAAAATGATAAAAAGAGAAAGGGTCACAAAAAAAGTTCTAGTGTCTTTCCAATGTGAATTTTATAGGAGGAAAAGATAAGGAAAATGAAGTGGGGAGCAAGTACCCAACAAGATAATGGAAAAAAAATTCCCAGAACATATGGGAAGCAAGAATCCTTAGAATGAAAGACTCCAGAGGGCCCACTATGAACTTAGTAATTTAGGAAGACTCACATTTTACACATACAGTGGAAATTTCAGAGCTCTAAGGATAAGAAAAACTGCTAAAGTCCAGCCTATAAAGGAGCAAGAATCACATTGGCATCAGAGTCACAGCAAAGCTGAATATAAGAAGACCACAAAGCAATATATTCCTATTTCTAAGAGAAAGTATTGCAGAACCTAAGAGTTCCTATCCAGTGGAGCTCTTTCAGTTACTAAGGGCAAAAGAAGGCATTTTTCAGGTATGCAAGAACTAAGTTTCTCACTTATGATCCTGTGTTACAGAAATATCAGAGGAATGTTGTCTAGAAAAACGAAAGTGGGAACAAAAAAAGCATTGATGAGCCCCCATCCCCACCCCTCAGAAAAATCCAGGAAGTATGTTAGGTCAGTAACCATCTGGAACTTGAGCAGCCATGTGCTCCTGATGGAGGAGGCATCTCGAGGCCCAGCAAAAGCAGCCACCTGGAGATCCTCAGTCACAGTGTGCTACAGCATCTCTTGCAGCTGTCACTAGAAGCCCAGTTCTTCAGACTGGGTGCTCATTCCCATCTGCCCTGAACATGCCCTGAATCCACCCCTTCCTATTTTTCACCAGATTGGTAGAAATCAGAGTTGATAACACCACTTTGATGAGGATCTAGCCCATATTTATATTTACATAAGATTGTCATTTAAGCTATTTTGCCCTGTAAGGACAAAGAGGAATGGACAAGACATCTGACAGTTTTGTAGTTCATGTTCTAGTAGCTCAAACATTTTAATTTGTTTTGTTTTGTTTTTTGGCAGTATTGGGGTTTGAACAGGGCCTTGCGCTTGCTGGGTAGGCACTTTACCACTCGAACCACTCTTGGATATTTTCAGTATAAGGTCTTGCGAACTTTTCTTAGTCTGGCTGCAAACCTCGATCCTCCTAATCTCTACTTCCTGAGTAGCTGGGATTACAGGCATGAGCCACCAGTGCCTGGCCATTTAATTGCTAATCAATAGACCCAAGGGCACTTGAAGCCCAACCAGGGGACAGGCTACCACATTTATGGGCTAATAAAGCCAACCCAAAACTGAGGACTGACTCAGAATAGTCATAGAATTAGGCGAGTCCATGGACTATAGCCCATTGGGAGACTAATTTTAGGGGTACCTGAGTTATTTCTCAGCCTCCACGTGTGTGCTCTTGGTCCATCAGTTGGCCTGCTAAATCGGCATTCTCATCTCCAGACTTTAGAGTTTGCTACAACTGAGATTGTACTCCATGTTCCGCCCTTTGTTTCTTTTTAAGGCTTGTTTTGACAGTTTAACACGAATAGTGTAAGAAAGAGGACAAAAGACTTGCTGTGCCTTGAGTGACCCTTCCTCCCTTCCTTCCTTCTTTACCCTGAGAGAAACATCTCCAGCCTCGCACTGCCTCCAGCTTTGGCTCCTGCTTCAGCTGGCATTATTGACTTAGCCAGCCAACAGTCTATTTTGGGGCTTATACCCCATGGAAATGCAGGTGTTCTTTAGAGCTTTTAGGGTTGGCTGGATTGTCTGGACAGGTGGGGTTGCTGCCACAGCTTTATCCTCAATATCATCCTTTTTGTTGGTCATTTGCAATGGTTCTGTTGTTTTGAACGGTTTTCTTGGGATTACAGTAGACCCTCGGTATTTGCAGGTATATAGTTCCAAGACTATCGTTGAGGAAAAAATCACAAATGCTCAGGATGCATAGAGTTCAGTACTGGACTGTGAATGTTTTCCCACAACACTGCCCAACTTCCACTAAGACTCACTTCCTTTTAACAGATCTCAGATTTTCACTTTATCACTCACATTAAGCATGTTAATTTGTACACTTTTGCAAGTCATATTTTCACAAAATTAAGAGCAGGGAAACACTCAGAAGATCATACAACGATTTAAGTACGATCAACAATGATATGGCGCTGACTGAGAGCTTCTCCTCCTCAATTGAGCTGCATAATGCACATGTAGAAATTGAAATTTTCGCTTTTGAAATTTCTTTTGATTTTCTAATTTTTTTTACATCACTTGGCCAAAACCACATGTAATAAATCCTTGAATAAGCCAGGTTTGCTGTAATTACAGGAGGCAAGGAAAATCAAACCTTTGCACTGCTGCAGTGTATCAGATGCTACATGGAGGCGGCAGGTCCTAGGCATGTGAGAGAGGGTGGACTGGGTGATGCTGGGCCTTCCCAGATGACCATTAGGTAACACATTCTGTTCTCCACAGGCTCTCAGAGCATTAATGAGTAGTAAAGCTCTCAGCCTTTGCTGTGCGTCTCAGCCACTGAAGGAGAACATGTGATTTGTGATTTATCGAGTGGCGGCAGTACACACAGCAGATGAACTAGACAAGATTGGCATATTTGGGGTGCCATGACCATAGACAGCGGCACCTGCCCACAGCAGATGAATTAGGAGTACAGCCCAGAAACCTTGATATCTTCATGCCTTGCTTTCATCACCATGACTTCCTTCCCTATTTTTAATCAGTTTGTAGAGAGAATGAGAAAAATAGTGAACAGCATTAATAACCAAAGTATGATATAAAAGATTTTAAAGACTTCCTTTCTTGTCTTTTTTATTTCCTTCCCTGTACTTAAAAAACAAAAACAGAAAAGCCTATCCACTTTCTGATTTGATAACAGTCTGAGCATGAGTGGTGTTCAGGACTTCCCTTCCTAATTCTCATTGGACAGAGGCATGTCCCCTCATAACCACCACCTATTATTTACTTGGGCCATCTTTAAATTTTA